CTTCAGGTCCTCCTCAGTTTCAGCAAGCAGGGTTGTGTCATCTGCATAACGCAGAACGGGGAGAAACCCACAAGGGCAGATACATTACCCCACGTCAAACAGCCAGTGTGGTTGTGATGACACTTCAACACATGTCTGTCTAACCCGAAGTCCACCTGGTCACCTCTTGTCTTTCCAGAGTGTCTGTTATTTACCTTTTGGATTCTCTTTTGGGTTTGTGTATAACAAGTGAGTGTTCTATCTCTGAGTGGACAGCAAGAGGAGTAGCCAAACATGTATAGGTGATTCAAAGGGAAATGATCTTGGAAATCGATTTGATGGTGTTAATCTACACTCACTTTTATTCATTCATTGAACAAATAAGCATTGAGATGTCATCAAGTTTTGACATACAACATATGGACCAGACAGGTTCAAACTGTTCTTAGACACAGTGTTATATTGTTGTTGTGTAATGTCAAGTTGGAACCAACTCACAGTTGACCCTCCAGTGGGTTTTCAGAGGCAGAAAATAGCATGGAGAAGATTGCCCATCTCTCTCTTGTAGAATAGCTGGTGGGTTCAAACCACGTGGTTTGGGTTGGCAGCACAATTTCTAACCACTAGGCCACAGGAACGCCCTTATTTAGCCCTGGTTTAAAAGGGATTTTATAAAAGTGAATGTGCTTGGCTGCTAATCAAAAGACCTGTGGCTTTTTAAGAACTATTTTAATTTTCTATTTTTTTAAAATTGATATTTTGAATGATAAATGCAATGTTGAATGACCTTATTCAAAAATAAACACACAAAAAGGATCATCTGTGTTCTGAGCTCATATGGCCTAGTGAGTAAGGAGTTTAACTGTCAATGCAAAGGCAGGTAGTTACCACCAGTTTCTCTGCTAGAGAAAGATGGACAATTACTTCTCACATAATTTACAATCTCTGAAAACTTTCCAGTTCTGACATGATTATAGATAATTACAGTATATTCTAATTATTTAAATCCTATTATTCATTAAAGTCATCATTGAGTGAATATCTCTGATACTCTGAATCACTTTGTGGAAAGGTAAATAGCAACCCAAAGTGATGAAAAGAGAGAATACCCCTGAACTTAACCCCTGGTTTCCAAGGTATTAAAATGTCTTCCTTCAGTTTACTACCTAAAATTTTCAAAGCTGGAAGTGCATGATGATTAATAGTGTGTCCTGTGGAATTTGAAGCCTACATCCACCACATATAGACTTTTTATTAAGACAAATTATTCAACCCCTACACTCAGCATGCCATACCTCTTCCATCACTGAAACAATATAAGTATTGTTAACATATTCTAATGGGAACATATTGAAAGGAGAAATGAAGTGGGTGAGAGTCCAGTTAATGCTTGCCTTTTATTCCTCTCTCTTTGTATTTTGCCTGACACACCTATACTTAGTCTGCTGTGAAATCCTCAAAGAACCATCAGTACCATTCACATCTTTACTAACTTCTCTCCTCACTTCCCCACTGGCCCAACTTTTCAACTCTTCCTTCTTCCTTCACCTCCACATCTTCTCACTTTCTCCTTTTTCTGGAATTTTCTTTTTCTACTTTCTGCCATGATTCAAGATTGTATCTTTACCATCTTTTTTTCTTTGAAGTCCCTTAAAAGATATTATTTCTCCACTCTATTATAACTGCAGTTACATCTTACAGTACAGATGC